TCAGTTCACTTACTTCTTCGCGGCACTCTTCTTCAATTTGGCCATTTCAATTCGAACCAATCGATTACGCAATTGCTTTGCACGCATCAGCTTGAAGCGGTCATAGTCTGTCATTTTGGCACGCTGAAATCGTACGAATATCATTCTACTGCAATTTCTTATCACATCATATCTACATCTTTATCAAAGTAAATAAAACCTCCATGACAGCACTTTGAGGGTGTAACAATATTTCTGAGAATAACAATTCTTGACGTCTAATATATCTTCAACAAACCCACCTCCCATAAAAAGGAGTGGGGGAAAACTACACGAACAGGAAGTACAACACATAGCTTTCACTGCTGTACACACAAGGAAGAACATGAATTGAATTAAAAGAAAGGAATTTATTAAAATTTCGATAGCATATGGCTACTATTCAACTTGATTTCTCAATAAAAACAAGGCAACAAGAAACTAACGAGTTGCTTTTTGGCGATTTTCTGTGCCCACAGAGTTTTCGACCATTTCTCATTGACCTTCTCCTCATCGTACGACTTTTTGACGTTCTTGGTGCGCATTCCATGTCGTAGAGGTATATGAAACTTAGTCAGTTGAAGATCCTTGAAGTTCCGCACCGAACGAGGCACTCCAGATGATGGACCGTCTACCAACGCCTAAAACCAGGCATTTCAAGGATACANGCACCGAACGAGGCACTCCAGATGATGGACCGTCTACCAACGCCTAAAACCAGGCATTTCAAGGATACATAAAAGATATTTCAGCCTCACGGATCGTAGACTTTGATTAGTGGTAATAGATTTTACAAATTTTACAAATAAAAAGTAATGTATGAGAATTACTAACTCGATTTCCGTCAACGACGTCAACAATTGTGGCTAATTTACCGGCGCTGTCACCACGAGCAATGAACACAACGCGCCCGATCTCTACCATCCGTTTGTAAACCATTTTCGAAGACCTGAAATACCCTGAAATTTACTCACACTACTGCCAAATCATTCCATTCGCATCGCAAAACACCAACGAAACATCAACTCAACCACATGAACCTCACTGAACCGTATACGAACAAAACATGGAAACCCAACTAATACTTTTACTGACAGTCAGTTTCGAAACAATTTCACTGTTTGATTGAAAAAATTTGATATAATTAACGCGAACGGAAATCTCGAAATACTTCGTCTTTTTCACCGAAACACCGACAATTTTACAACTTAATTGTTAACAGGGCATAATATGTGGCCGGAATAAAGAGAACGGAAGAAAATAATTAAAGAAAACCCCGAGGGAATCATGAAAAATAACGAAAATTCTTCATGAAATTTCAATTTGACCAGCCAAGACGACGAATTCTATGTGTAAAAGCTATCGTATAGCACAACGGCACTCATCGCATAGTCGGTTCGTGATTAGATGTTGGACGACTTGCAACGGAATATTCGATCAAAGTGAGCACATAATAAGTCGCGCGGGAAAACGTTACGTTCGCAATTAATTTATATCTACAGATCGGGGAATTTGATCTATTCCGGATTTTTTTTGGTTAATTTCGCCGTTTCCTGAAAATATCCTGAACGATTCATATTTCTGCTTATCTATGAGCCTGTTCAGCTTGAATGCATTTGTTGTTCACTGTTATTTTATCAGTTACTCTTTGAAAGATTCAAACGAACTGACTCCAAATACATTTGTTTCCGTTATGTTAAATTCATTTTTTGCCACTAGTTTCGTGTTCTCAGCTGTCTCTACACTTGCAGCCTTTCAGGACTAATTGATTAAGC